GCTAGCTGGGCTGAGAACAACAGAGCCGTTCGAAGGTCCCACTTACTACTAGTTACTGCACGAGTGGGATATTGATCCGTCCTAGCAGTCGGGCACTTGCTGGGCCTAAGCAAGGCTACTTGGTCGCTGCTTTCACGGGTTCCACCGTTGTGAACCATGCCCCCAACCTCCTTACACATGCGTTCACCCCAATCCTGCTCCTAGTGAGCCAACCAACAGTCTTTCATATAGTGGGACAATGTATTAGGCTAAGTCCAATTACTTGATCGTGTGGATGGACGCAACTATGTCATTTCCATGGTATAAGGGGGTAATTATAATCCGGTTAAACCACCCAAAACTTTCCAAACTCCCCACACCAACAAACTTCATCATATATTAACATTCATAATCACAACATTCACAATCTCAATTCATAAATGCCCATTTTAACCGGATTCCTAAGTTTGTAAAGTTGTTTGAAAAATAAACCACATAAAATGATCTCAAATGCACCTTTTCAATAACCTCATGTAATAATGCTAGGCATTAATAATTACCACAATGTTATTCTGAAGTATAACATCTACCCATGAGATGTTAAAAGAGTAAATACCATGCATCAAATTTAAATATGATGATTATATCAAGGTTTCTATATGATCAAAATTTTAGTTATGTCTTGCTTGCGCCTCGAGATTTCCCACGGCTTCAGCGTAGCCATCTAGGTCCACGTCAGCTCCTTGGATGACGATAGAACTTGTTGTATGGTCTAACTTACGGATACGAAAAGATAGCAAATAAAGCCTATAAGCAAATTGCTACAAAAGAAACGATAAAGCCAAGAAATAAATAAAATTGGAGTGAGGCGAGAGGAAAAAGGAAAGGGGTTTAAAATAAACTTTTAACTTAAAGAAGAAAAGAGAGGTGATGCTTTCTATAGGTTGGAAATTGAATAAAATCGAAGAAAGGATAATTTTGGATAGGTGGGGTTTATTTGGTGGATTGGTTTCTAGTCGGTGCTAGAGTAGGATAGCACGACGGCTAGATATTTGGAGTGGTTAGCCGATGCTAAGGTTGGTAGCATAACGGCTAAATATTGGCTCGTCTAGTCGATGCTACAGTTAAGTAGCACAACGGCTAGTGAGTTAGGAGATTTGTGTGGAGCGGAACAGTGTTACTCTGCAGTCGTGAGTGACAACAGAGCGGCTAGGGTCGCACATAGCTCAAGGACTAGTGTGCGGCGTGCTTGTGGAGGTTGAGGGAGTAGTGAGGCTCCGACCACGGTACGCGTTGAGGCGTGGGGTGCGAAGAGCGACACTTCGACCTTAGGATTAGGTTATACCGGGTTTTACGACCAACGGTTTGACATCGGGGTTTGAGACCATGCGAATGTCTCCATGGAAGGCGTAAAATTCCATCGGCGGAATTTTAGTGGCTAAGAGATGGTATGGGAATGATTTAGAAATAAAAAGGGGTATTTAAATATATCAAAGGAATTTAAATTCAAAAGGGGGTTTTAAAATAGATTAAAGAAATAAAATTTAAAATGGTAAAGAAAAGGGTATTTGAAGAAATTAAAGGATAATTAAAATTTAAAAAGTTTTTAAATAAAACAAGAAATTTAAAATTAAAGGGATGTAAAGTAAATCAAATAAATTTAAAATAACTTTTAAAGGTTAATTAAAATAATTTAAAATTAGAAAGTAAATAAATAAATAAGGAATTTTTTTAAATAAAGAATTTAAATGAAATTTTAAAATAGGAAATTTGGTATCAAAATGAAGAGTTTGAAATTAGAAGAATTTAGCTCAAAGAATTTCTGGAATTGAATCTTTGGTTTATGAGATATGGATCCCTAAAATTTGAAATTGAAATAAAAAGAAAAGGATTACTTTATCAGAGGTGGGGCCCACAGGTCAGTCTTCTCCCTCTTTCTTCTTTTCTTCTTCTTCCTCTTCCTCGTATCGGCACAGAGGAGAGGGAGACAGAGGAAGGGCGGCAAGGGGCGGGGTGCTCCGGTGGCCGACGGCGCTCGATGGCGGCGGTGGTCGGAGGAGGCGCTGGGAAGGGAAAAGGCGGCGGCCGGCGATGGGGAGGCAAGGACGGCGGCCGACGGTGGAGAAGGGCAAAGGGGAACGGCGGCCAGCCAGAAATGGAGGATTTGAGGAGAGAGGGAGAGAGGGAACTCCGATTTGGATGAGGGAAAAATGGAAGGGGTCGCCGGATTTTATAGGCGGCAAAGGCGGTGGAGGAGGGAAAACCGGCGATGGCACGGCACGATGTCGGTTGGAATGCGGAGAGGCGGCGCCAAGCGTCGGCTTCCGATTGGCGGCAAAGGGGCGGCTCGGTAGTCGGCGTCGGCTTGCGGCGGCGCGTGGCGAGTGACGCGGCGCGGCGTTGTGCGGCGGCGGCGAAGACGGTGGGCGACGGCGGCTTAACAGCGGCGGCGGAGGAATAGCGGTGGCGGCCGTGAAAAGGCGATGGCGGCGGCGGCTGTGGGGGCGCCACGGGGCGGGATGGCAGCAGACGGCGTGGGCGGCGCGGCAAGGTGGCGTCGTCGGATTAGCTGGGCGGCGGCGGCGCCCATGGTGGCGCGGTGGTGGCGGCGCCCACTGGAGGAGGAGGAGGCGGTTCGGCCTGGCTGGGCCGCGCTAAGTGGGCCGGCTCGGCTGGTCCGGCGGCCCGAGAGGAGGGAGGAAGGGAAGGAAAAGAAAAGGGGAATGGGCCAAATGGGAGTTTGGCCCAAATTGAATAGGAAGTTTTGATAATTTATGTAGAGGGTTTTGAATGGAATTCAAAGGAGATGAAAAATCAAAGGATGGATGGATGGATGTAGAATTTTTGAATCTTGGTCAAGGAATTAAATCTAAGGAATTTTGAATGGAGGGTTTTAAATAAATTTTAAAGGAGATAAAATTTAAAAGAGAAACGCTTGAGGGTCTTTTGAACTTTATAAGAAGAATATAAAGTTTTTTTAAAGCAAAAAGGAGTTTAAAATATTTTTAAAATAAAATCAAATATATTTATTTTGAAATATAAATTTTGAAAAGGATAAAAATAAAGATGCTCCAATTTTAAAAGAATTCAAATAAGGACCAAAAGTAAAACTTGTCACGAAAGATTTAAAAATCATACGGGAAGGAAAGGTAATAATTTAACTTCAAACTTTGGATAAATTTGGGATGGTGGCAAAAATAGATGGAGGTAAATAACTAAGATTTTAGCCTCCAAAATATGTGGTATGGATTCCCGGTGAATTATTTGTGGCTAAAGGAAGTTGGATTTTAAATAGAAGGGATAAGTTTCTTAGCACAAGAGCAATCATTTAAATATTTATGATAATATTATTCTTGTTCCAAGAATGTGATCAAGTCATAGAAATCAAATTGGTGGATGAATCAAAATAGGAACTTGACCACAGAATATTTTGGATCGATTAAAAGGAGACAAAGGTTTAGATAGGGGTTGATCCAGAATAAAATCTAACAGAAAGGGAGTTATACTGGTTTAGCCCCAAAGATAAAAATGGTTAATGGGATATAACAGAGAGTCGGGTCAATCAGGGAAATATTGGCCCAAACTAAATAGTAGACTTTGAAATCTTGAATGGATAATTTGGAGGAACGGGATTTCAAAGGGGAAATATTTGTGGGAGTATAGATCTGGACTCGGAAGTATATTTGGATGGAATTTCTATAGGAACAGAATTGGTGGTAGATTGATAAACTCTAAGGGATGGGTATGCTGACTTAGGGAGATTGAAAAGGATATTTTATGGGCTATGGGAATATTTAGGTGGAGATCCAAAGGAAAGGTATTGGTTCTGGGAAAAATAACAATTGGTATTTGTGGAGGTTGAAGATGTTCAGGAATGGAATTCAAAGGAAATATAATATAGAGCCAAAGTCAGAGATTAAAGAAAATAAATAGAGAGGTTTTGTAAAATTTAAAAGAGAGCGATTAACTTTGCAAATAAAGTTTTAAATCCAAGTTAAAAGAGATTAACAGAAGGTAAGATCACTTCAACAGAAGAATCAAGAAGAGTACAACTAAAATATTTCGCAAAAATTTTTCTCTGAAAATTTGAGTCCGTTACATATAATCGATACATATATTTTACTGGATATAGTAGTTTTCTTCATTAATTATGTCCGTGCAATTTTGATAGGAGAATTAGTAGTTTTCTTCATTAATTATGTCCGGGCAATTTTGATAGGAGAATTCGATAATAGTACATGTTAAATGGTGGGATGCCTTAAAGAGAAGGAAATTTCATAAAATATTTCACTGGATTATGTTTATATTTGGCTCCTTTGGAACGCCAGATTTTAAAAACACGGGAATAAAAAAATAGGAATAATCATACCCTATAGAATCCTATAGAGTTCTAAAACACATGAATACTAAATTTCCTTCCTTTGGTTCGCAGGAAGTAAATAATGAACTTGCTTGTAATAGAGAGAAACTGGAGACATAAAGGAAGAGAGTGCATTGGACTTGTCAAAAGAAAAATAACCTCATGTTTCTTTTTCTTTGGAAATGGGGTTAAATGAGGTCAATCCATATGAAATTTGGCATCATATTCCTTTACTGCGAAGAGCTTCATAGGAAAACTTCCCTAAAGATTTAAATCTTATGGAATTCCTTCGATCCAAAGGAACTCTAACATCAGGCTTGCATGACAATACCTATTTACATCCAGAGGCAGTTAGTTTTAAGATCTGAACGTTTCTAAAATAGGAGCTGTAATTATATACTCGGTAATTCTGCTAGCTCGGTTGGCATTGCGGTTCAGAAAATTCATAAAATTCTGCCGCCTTCTTTTATTTCCTCACTTTATCGCTGCAATAAAGGCCCATTTGGCATCATCGGCGTACTGGAAGCTGCAGAAAGCGAGACAGTTGGCTCTGCAGTATTGGCAGGGCAGGCTGACAGCTCATCTTCTCAGAGGATCCGATGAAGTTGTCACCAGGGCATTCTTCCTTTCGTGCTGAGAGCAAATTAAAGCAAAGCATATCTCTCTGCATATATATATATATATACTCCCACCTCACGAAGCAAAGGTAATTTCCCCTCTTTTTTTTTTTTTTACATCTCCTGTGTGTATAAAAGAAGCCTTGAAGGTCACAGCCCAAAGGAAGAAGGGAAGAAACATATCGTCATCAGATTAATCTCAATGTTTGTTTTCTTCTTTTCTCCATTCCGTTATTTCCATTTTTTTCTTCTCTGCTCATAGTAGTCCTTTGAGAACCTGTAAGATATTGCACATACTGCTCACCAGAGCAGTGAGAATTTTCTCTATTCATTTGCTCGAGTTCTGCTTCAGAAAACACTGTTCTGTTTGATACACATAAAAAAATATTCTTCTCTTCTTGTAAAACTAGCGAAACAACGTGCAGTTCATCTTGTTATTCCAGCTCCAGCTAGCGTCTCCATGGGTTCCAAGAAGGATGCCCAAACCTGGGCAGACCAGTGGGGCTCATCTGGTGGCGACGGAAGCTTCAAGAAAGGAGGAGGAGGAGGAGGCAGCAGCGGGAACAGCGAGAAGAAGACGGTGGCCGGCAACGTGAAGGCCGCGGCGTCGGAGGGCCTCGTGAAGGCGAAGGCGGCGGCGCTGGTCGGAGCGCACAAGGTGAAGTCCGGGACGAGCAGTGGCATCAAGTGGGTCAAGGGCCAGTACCAGAAGAGGGCTGGAAAGTGATTGGATTTCTGATGCGTTTGCCTGGTTGCTATGCCATCGTCTCACTAGCTGTTGCTCCTTTAGCTTGAAGCATTGAAGAAAGTATCGACCAGAGACGGGAGGTTATGTCTTTGGCGCTATTCATTTGGATGATCTTGTGAGCAATTAATTAAACTGTTGCTGATTTTAATACAAGAGAGTGTCTTTTGGTGCAACGATTTTTGTTCGATTATATTAAGGTTGACGTTGTTAATAGTGTATTCTCTAACTTAATCCTTACAAGTTGGCTTACACATGAAACCTATCTCGTATCAACCCCCACCCCCACCCCCCCTAAAAAAAAAGAAACATGGAGGTGGGCGTCCGGCAAGGGTGAGGCGGCCGAGCGTCTCCTTGACCTGCCGAAGGTGAAGGGTGTCACGAATAAACCATGCCATGGTGTGTTCCGGGCGTGTGTGCCATGTGCGTGTGTAAGCAGTCAAGGCGTGGGCGTACGTTGCGGGACCGCGGTGGCTCACGAACGAGTGCAGGCCGGGTTGTGGGATTTCAGGCGTGGGTGTGCGTGAAGGTAGCAAACGCGGGTGTGTGGGCACTGCGTCGCCGTTGTGTATAAAGCTGCAGTAGATGATGTGTTTGGTGTGGTGTGTGTCTTTGCTATCAAAAATAGCCAAGAAATAGGCGTTCATCCCCGCAAAATAAGTTTGTTTTTAGTGCTACTGTTCTTCTTCCTCATGTGTGTGATGAGGGAGTGACTCCTGGGCAACGCCAACATTTGGTATTAGAGCAGGTTAGATGAAGATTGGAGACAGCTCGAACTCTGGTGCCGCCGTGGAGCGCGTCATCGCCAACTCCGGTGCCGTGGAGCTGCCGTTGCTGACTAGGACCAACTACCATGAGTGGTCCTTGGTCATGCGGGTGAGCTTGGAGGCGCTGGGGCTGTGGGACACGGTGGAGAAGGACAAGCTCGAGCATCGTGAGGACAGGCAAGCGTTGGCGGCCATCCTGCGTGGCGTGCCATCGGAGGTGAAGGTCGGGCTCGCTGTGAAGAAGTCGCGAAAGAGGCGCGGGCTGCAGTGGAGAAGATGAGGGTCGGCGATGATCGCGCGAAGTCCGCCAGCATGCAACGTCTCTTGAAAGAGTTCAAGAACGTCGCGTTCCATGATGGGGAGTCCGTTGACGACTTCGCGATGCACATCAATGGGCTTGTCGCTAGCCTGGCGCAAGCATGGCGAGGCAATGGAGGACAGCCATGTGGTGAAGAAGATCCTTGCGCGTGGTCCCCAATAAGATGAAGCAGGTCGCGGTGGTGATCGAAATGTTTACGGACTTCAACACCACGTCCGTGGAGGAGGTCATCGGCTGGCTACGCATGGCGGAGGATGCCGACGTTGAAGAAGTTGCGCATGGTGTTGAGTGGCTGCTCCTCACCGAGGAGTAGTGGGAGGCGCGTTGGTGTCGGCACAACAGCAAGGAGAGGGCGCGCGGCGGTGACGCACGCCGTGTCAATAGCGAGAAGGGTGCTGGCCGTAGCGGCGGCCATGACAAGGATGACGACGACGCGAGCAGCATGAGCTCGAGTGCTAGCAAGCATCACAGAGGAAGGTGCTTCGACTGCGGTGTTCGTGGCCACCTTGCCAAGGACTGCATGGAACCGAAGATGGAGAGGGCCGTCCTCACGGACGTTGACGACGAGCCGGGGCTTTTGTAGGTCAGGACGTATGGAGGTGTTGTGGTTTAGGGGAGTTTGCTAGGAATAAACCACGCCATAGTGTGTTCTGGGCGTGTGTGTCGCGTGTGGTAGTTCGTGTGCATGTGTAAGCAGTCAAGACACGGGCATACGTTGTGGAGCGCGGCACAAGCTCCCCATGGCGGACCGGGTCCAGGGCCTGTTCGGGCTTTTTAGGGCCCTGGTGTGAAACTAAACATAGATGCCCTTATCATACTATATAATAAAATTTAATAGATACATATACTTTACATATATATGAATTATTGCCAAACAGATTTAAATTGCATTTGGAAATAATATCTATATAGAAAACATTGTACATGTTACCTTAAAAATTCCAAATATTTCTAGATGTGATGTCATTGATAATGTTACAAATATCAACTTCATCCAATAATTTCTTCTCAATGCATAAAGATCTCAAATAGTTCTTCAATAATTTCAACTTCAAAAAGCTTCTTTCAGCTGATGCCACTATCACGATCAATGCAAATAAGAGATAATAAACAACAGAAATATTAGGGTAACAATCTGCATCTCTAACGAACTCAAAAATCTCCATGGCAAACATCAGTCTATCTGGCAAAGTAAAAAATTAGATCATTTAACTCAACATCAAATGAACCCCGTAGAGAGAAAATTAGATCATTTAACTCAACATCAAATTTAGCTCAACTCAAACACAACTAAAAAATTAGATCATTTAACTCAACATCAAATGAACCCCGTAGAGAGAAAATTTCTGCAAATTTAGCGCAACTGTCTTTTAGTTCAACTCCATCCAATAACTTCAAGACAATGGAACTCATTAAAAACACAATTATGCTTTTGAATTCTTGGAGTTCTTCAAATCTAGCTTTCAGTGAAGTGATTTCCATGTCAACCATAAAACAAAAAAGTGTTGAACTTCAAAAGCCCTCTCAACTTGCAAATTTACTTCATCACTCAATTTCATCAAGCTGTCTCTTTCTGGGTTCATGACACTTTACTAGAAATGATGCATTTACACCCATTTCAGATGCAATATCTTTGGCTATGATCAAACTAGAAGCAAACACCTCATTTATGTACTTGTGAAAGTAAATCATTATGCCTTTTATTTGTTGCAAGGTGGACTCAATGCACGTGGATGGTGACTGCAATTTCTTGCTCACAGTGTTAACAACAAATAAAATGCCATGCAAAATAATCATACCAAGTATAAACTTAAAGGTACCAACTACCTCAAATAAATTTTGCGCATCACTCTTATGATTGGGTTCAACATCATTAGATTCCCTTAAGTACAACAAAGCTGATCTTATCTCAGGAGCTTAATATCTAATAGCTTTAACACTTTTGATTCGACTCTCCCATCGAGTATTGCACAATGACTTCACTGTTAAACTTGGAACATGTTCAAGCAAAACTTTCCATCTTTTGGTTGAACCAGAAAATAACACATATATCAGTTGCACAATTCCAAAAAAATGAAATAGCTTTAGCACAAGATTTAGCCATATCAGAGATAGTGAGATTAAGACTATGGCAAGCGCATGGCATATACAAAGCTCTTGGATTAATATTAAGCAATTAATCGTCTTTGCACCCCCCCCTTGTGTTTTCCTTTCATGTTAGAGCCATTATCATAGCCTTGACCTCTAATATCATCATACTAAAACCAAAGGACTTGATGGAATCAACCAATACATCGAAAAGCCCTGAACCGGATGTATCATCCACCTTCAAAAAAACCCATAAAATACTCCTCTAATGTTATTTTGTCACATGACATATTAACACATTGGACCAACAAAGTCATTTTGACTCACATCTGGGGTGCAATCAAGGATAATAGAGAAATATTTTGCCTCTTTAACCATCTTTATGATAGCTTTTGTGATATCAGAAGCCAAGAAAGAAACCAACTTATTCTGTATTTTATGACTAAGATAATGATAATGTATCTCATTATTCTGAATACGTCTAAGATGATCTTGCATCACCAAGTCAAACTCTACAACCATCTCATTACATGCTAAGAAATTGCCATTCTGATGATTGTAAATTGCTCATTGGATCTTCTAAAAGCCAAATTACGTTTACCAAGAAATTTGACAATAGCAATTATTCTTAGTAAAACTTGTCGTATACGTTCTTTCTCCTTAGTAATTTGTTGTTGCAAATCTTTGTCAATTGTTTCATTTTTCCTCAATCTAGCTCTCAATTCATTCCAAGAGGTCATGTTGGTGATATGCTTGACACTAGCTTTATGTTCTTTTAGTCTTTCACTAATATGCCTCCAATCTCTAAACCCATCATGTTCAAGTGAACTCTTGCAATTTCTAGAGTTGAAAATCTTACAACAAAAGCAAATTACTCTATCAACATGCTTTGAGTAAGCCAACCATTTTCCATCATGAACCTTCTCGTTGCTCATTTTTCTAGAAAAAAGAGCATATGGGAAATGTGTTAAGTTATCATCCAAAGGGAATTCAATATTTTCTTCTCTTATTGGCCCCTTCTCCACTAATATGTCCCTAGCTTTATGATCAAGTTTATCCCAATTTCTTGGATCATACATATCGACAGTAAAAACTAGTTGTTCATCAACACTAGCAAATTCTGTAGCAGGTGAATTAAATATGTTCTCATGATCACTTTCATTAGTACCATCCTCATTGCCCTCGTCTTCAATGTCCATGTCACTTGCTTCCTCCACAACAACATAGACAATTCAGCTAGGTTCCTTGACATGCCATTGTTACCCCTTAAAAATTTGTCCATTGTCCCCTTTTGGGATTCTATTAAGACTTCCACCTTTAGTTTTTTTCCTTTTCTTACTACTTGATGCATACTTTCTCGACGACATGGCCTGATAGTTTTAAAAAATTAACATTATTACAGTGATTTAACTCATATAAATTACACTACACAATTACAAATCTAAATTTAAAATCTTACCACTAGTTTCCGACGGGCAACGTTCAGTAATTAGTAATCCGTACTCGAGGGCAAGAAGGAGCGGGCAGCAGTTCCGGTGCCTCCAGAAATAATTCACGCTGCATATGCATTCAACGACGGAGAGATGAGGACGATTCAATATTTCGATTGATTATATTCAAACAGAATTACAGCAACAAACAGTCAAACAATCTAGCTAGGCACCTAGGCCCTGCTCTGCTCACTTTGTGTAATGGACTCAAATTTTACGGGAAATTTTTTTGCAAAATATTTCAAGTCATGCTCTTCTCGATTCTTCCTTTGAGTAATCTCACTTTTGATCTTTTCTTTGACGTGGATCTAAACTTTATTTAAAAAGCTTTCTTTAAAACCCCTTTTTAATTTCATAAAAACCTTTTCATTTATTTTATTTAATCTCTAACTTTGGCTCTAGATTATATTTCCTTTGGATCCATTCCCAAACATCTCCAACATCCACAAATATCGTTTCAATTCCCGCTCAACCATCTCTAGAGCACATAAAATATCAATCTCTCTAGAGTT